ACACACACACACACACACACACACACACACACACACACACACACACACACGGCTGTATGACCTTGGCTGAGTCACTTCCTTTTTAAAGCGTCAGTGTCCTCAGCTATAAGCAATGACAGGTTACGTAGGGGGTTGAATAATGCTCCCCCCCCCAATTCATGTCCACCCAGAACCCACACCCTCACCCTCACCCTTGCCCTGGGGCTGCCCTCTGGGTCTCTTTCATGTGGCTGCCCCTGAGTCATATCCTTTCACAATAAACCGGAAGCTAGGAAGTAAGGTGCATCTAGCTCTCTGAGCTGCTCTAGCAAATTAATAGAGCCCAAGGAGGGGGTTGTGAGAAGCTCCACCCCAGCCTGCCCAGCAGGTGTCCATCCATACAGGTGGCAACCTGGCCTTTCATCATGGTGGGCTGGAAAAGTGGGGAGTTTTTGACTTACAAGGCCCGGTTTGAATATCAGTTCAGCAGTTGACCAGCTGTGGAACCAGGGCAATGACCTCACTTCTCTAAGATTCAGGCTCCTCAGCTCTAATGTGCAGATAACAATCTCCGCCTCGCAGATTTGGTGAGAATTGGGGGTGCATGTGCAAAACCTCGGTTGGGAGCAGGCCCTCTATGAAAGAGCCGCTCCATGACTTCCCCCAGTAGCTGCACTGCCGTTACTCCAGCGCCGACCACGCGGCCTGGTTCCGCTTTCCATTAATTAGCCCATCAGCTTTCCTTCGTCCCACGAGCTCCGGTGGTTGCACAAGACACCCTGATGCGGGAAGATGTCCAGCGAGAGACGCCTGCCGGGGCTCGTGCAAACCCTGGAGCTGCGGCGGGAAGGACACGGGCACTGCTCTCGGTCAGACGTGGCCCCAGCCCCCGCCGCCGTCTCCCAGCTGCGGGTGCATCCCTCGGTCACTGGCTGGCTGGCCTCACACGACGGGCCCTGTGTCCACGTGGCATGAACAGCACGTGCTCCCTGAGCGCCCGCTTTTCACCTCCTGCTGCGAATCCGCCTTCTCGCCCTTGGCTGGGCGGCCACCCAGCTCCCCCAGCGCCGCTCGTCCAGCCTTTCAGCCGCCGTCCAACGGACATGGCAGGTGAATCACTTTCGAAACAAGGTCTCGGGAGAAGGGGGCGCCCCGAGAACCCCTCTGCACCAATTACACTGGATTCTAGGGTTCGGAGCAGGGGTTAGCTGCTCTTCTCTCTCCACCTGTCTCCCCTCCACCCCCCAGTTTAGGGAAAGAGATATTCTTAGGTACATTTAAAGATGTAATTGTTAATAAATACCACACGAAAATAGCATCTTGAGTCCAGTGCAGCAAGTTTCACAGACTTTCATGACTGTCAATAAGAAATCCGGTGTTATTTTTTGGCTGCCAGGTGTTAGCTCCTGTATTTATCACTTATGTTTACTTGCTGTGCGCAAAGTGGATCCCTAGCCTTGGCTCCTCCTGTCAATACGGTAGCGTATTTTTTGAGGTTTAATTGACATGTAACATTATGTAAGTTTCAGCTTCACAGATCATGACTTGATAGTTGTACAGGGTGGGACAAAAGTGGGTTTACAGTTGTTCCTATGGAAAATAATACAATAATTAATAAATAATAGCACAAGAATAGACTTTTTTGCATACTCACAACTGTAAACCCACTTTTGCGCCATCCCATGCGTATTGTGAAGTGATCACCACAGTAAGTCTAATTAACACCCGTCGCCACACATAGGCGGACCTTTTTCCTTGTGATGAGAACTTTTAAGACTTGCTCCCTTAGCAGCTTTCAAATATACAGCACGGTGCCATTAATTCACTTTCGGGAAACAGTACAGTCCCGTGGCCACCAGGCCGCGCACTGTGTCCCCCGGCGTTCGTTTTATAACAGGGAGTTTGCGTCTTTTCACCACCTTCATCCGTGTCCCCCGTCTCCTGCCCCCGCCTCCGGCAACTACCAGTCTGTCCTCCGCATCTATGAGTTTAGTTTTGTTAAGGCTCCCCATGTAAGTTAGTCATACGGCGTGTGTCTTTCTCTGTCTGACTTACTTCATTTAGCCTGATGCCCTCCAGGTCCATCTATGTTGTCAGGATGGCAAGACTTCCTTCTGGCGGCTGAAAAGTAGTTCAGTGTGCGTGTGTGCATGCATGTGTGTGTGTGCGTGTGCATGTGTGTGCGTGTGCGCGCGCGTGTGTGTGTGCGTGTGCGGAGCGTTACGTGCCATTTCCTTTGGCCGTTCATCCACCGGCAGGCGCTAAGGTCGTCCTCCTGTCTTGACGATTGTAAATGATGCCGCTCTGAACATGGGGTGAAGAAAGCTGTTTGACATAATGTTTTCATTTCCTTCCCGTAAATACCCAGGAGTGAAATTGTTGGATCATATGGTATTTCTATTTTTAATTTTTTGAGGAAATTTCATATTGTTTCTCATAGTGGCTGCACCAATTTACAGTCCCACCGACACTGCACAAAGGTCCCCTTTCCTCCACATTCTTGCCAACGTTTGTTACCCCTTGTCTGTTTTATGACAGCCGGTCTAAGAGGCGTGAGGCGACGCCTCACTGTGGTTTGCTTTGCGTTTCCCTGGTGATTGGTGATGTTGGGCATCCTCTCATGGACCTGCTGGCCTTTGGAAAAATGTCTATTCCGATCCTTTGCCCATTTTTTAATCAGGTTGTTTGTGAGTTGTTTTTTTTTTTCTATTAAGTTGTATGAGTTCCTTATACATTTTGGATATTAACCCCTTATCAGATATATAATTTGTAGGCCCCAAATCCTAGAGGAGGGCTACTCGGTCTGAGCGTGGGGAGTGGAGGCTGTGGGGTCTGGCCAGCAGCTCCTCCTGGCAGGCCACCCAGGCCATGGGACACAGCTGTGTCAGCGCAGAATCTGCACCCCCACCGCCGTTTCAGAGTCACTCACACTGACAGGTATTAAGCTAAGGTCAAGGGCATCCTGATGGAGGCTCAGGGTACCTGGCCCGTGTGGCCCTGTCTTGCTCAGGAAATACCAGGGGAAGAAGGAATGATAGGCCTGGCCCTTTTCCAACCCTTGGTGCCTCTGGTGCCCACCAGTGTCTTGCTCCCCACAGGATTCTTCACAGGGGAGACATAGGCCCTCTGCCCGGGGAGCGAAGGTGACCCTGAGGTCGCTAGTGGCAGCCTCTGGACCCTTGGCATTCCTCATTCAGAAAGGCCACAGGCTCCCAAGGATGCCCAGGGCTGGGAAGCTGAGGGGTGAGCTCTGCCAACTCCCCTCGCTCACAAGCTCCCTTTCGGACGTCACCACCTCTGGCCTCCTGGGTGCTCCGGCACCGCCTGCCCTGATGGCCTTCGCGGGAGGGCAGATGCCTAGCGAGTGCTGGGGTCGCGGGGTGTTGCGCCCCGCCCCGTGCCCCAGTTCTTCAGAGAGGCCTCCCCCGGCTTCCCAGCCAGTCTGTCCCGTCCTGGATTAGATTATCTGCCGTTTGCTGCTTGCCACTCAGTCAAAGGTTAAGCTGGGGGGG